ATTTGGGGTGCTTACCTGCGAAGTTATCAGCTGCGGTTAAACCTGCAGAGCCGATCTTGGGAAAAGCTGCGGTTGACCCCTGTTTGGGGTGCGTACCTGCGAAGCTATCAGCTGCGGTTAAACCTACAGAGCCGATCTTGGGAAAAGCTGTGGTTGACCCCTGTTTGGGGTGCTTACCTGTGAAGCTATCAGCTGTGGTTAAACCTGCAGAACCGATCTTAGGAAAAGCTGTGGTTGACCCCTGTTTGGGGTGCTTACCTGTGAAGCTATCAGCTGTGGTTAAACCTGCAGAGCCGATCTTGGGAAAAGCTACAGTTGACCCCTGTTTGGGGTGCTTACCTGCGAAGCTATCAGCTGCGGTTGGACCTGCGGAGCTGTGAAGAACCTGTGGGGTGGTAGGCTTATTTGTACCTTCCACCAAGCTCAAGCTATTGTATTGGCCGGCGGGACATACAAGTTGTCGTCAGCCGACGAGTCCTGGAGTAAGTTGGGATAGTCCAGCTCACTCACTCATACTGGTAATGGTCAGATCACTGTCTGAGTGGATGCGAAAGGGTGCTCCCCTGGCGGACCATCTATCCCACCTTTCGAAGCAGCAGCCTGACGCAGCTCCGCTATTTCCATGCGCGTATACTTACGCCTCACTGTCTTCCGGAGGGCCACCGGCTTCGGTGGTCGTTGACCAATCGTCGGCCACATAATATTATCATCACTAGATATATCCGACTCGGATAATATATCATATCCGGACAGTCGCTCATGTCCGGTGATGTCGCCGATGTCATGTCGTCGCTACTACTGCCTCCATCACTGCGCCCAGGAATGGAGAATACGTATTCCTCCGATGACCTATCGTCACTCGCTACTACCTGAAACAAACGTATTATGCCTTTAATCCTCCGATGACCTATCGTCACTCGCTACTACCTGAAACAAACGTCTTATGCCTTTATTCCTCCGATGACCTATCGTCACTCGCTACTACCTGAAACAAACGTCCCTACTAAGCAACTACGGAGGGCCCTGTTCCGCAAACCCAGCTACCGATAACACGTGCTATGTGTTTCGGAAAATAGGATATAATATATATATATATATTCAGTAGGTATTAATTGTAATACACATACATAAATTTATATTTATATACATATATACATATATATATATATATGTATATATGTGCGTGTGTGTATGTTTATACACATATATATACATATATATATATGATATATATATACACACACATATTTATATATATATATATGTATACATGTATGTATATACATGTACACATACTAATATATATTTATATATATATATTTATATATGTGTGTGTGTGTGTGTTTGTGTGTGTGTGTGTAGTATGTATNTA